CACACACCTCACTCTCGTCTGCATTTTCGTTTAATTGGAATTGTGTTTGTGTGTACAAATTTGTATTTACATGCCTGTTACATTAAACTGTTCAGGCTTCATAGGAACATCTTCACTATTATTTTTTTGTTCATACTTAAATATTCCTGGAGGAGGAAGGGAGAAGTCTTTTTTAATATACTGTCACTAAATAACTTTTTTTCATTTTTTTCCTTTTTAATTTCAGAGCATGGTCTCAGAAGAGAAAATGTTTAAGAAGCTGTACAAGGATTATCCCCAAACTTCACAGTTACATTCCACAGCCCCGAAAAAGGTACATCAGCTTTTCCTCAGATTAAACCAAACAGTCTGTTTGTGCTCATGGAATCTGCTTGAAGTTCCATGACAGTTTATGTACACTCACCAAAAGACACGGAGCTGCTTTTAACTTCAACCTTTTGTCATTTTAGAAAACACAAACTTTACTTTCCCTGGAATCCTGAACGACATTTAGAACTGTGACTCTGTTAATGTAATCAGTGAGAAGTCTCTAAGTGCAATTCCTGTGGGAGTCAACCCATGGAAAAGATAAAATGCCCACTTCAGTGTGTGCAGGAAGCCCCTTGGGCAGTCCAGCTTGGAAGCGTTGTGACCCCTGACAGTGAATTGTTCTTGTGGCATTTTTCTGTCTGTGCTTCTTACTTCTCTGGGGATGTTTATTTATTTTTGTGGTGGGATAAGCAGGGGTTTAAAAGGGTGATTCCATTCCACTGGGATATTAGAGAGCAGTTTGTGGAAGGGCTCCCAATGTGTGTCATTTTTCGTGCTCAGTTATCATTTATCAGTAACAATTCCTGTCCAAGAGAGATTGTGAATTTAATAATATCTCTGGAATTCTCTTACTCAGTCTTAAAAGTGTGTTTTTGTAAGAGCACTTTGTCTATGGAATAGAAAAAAGTCTTGTATAGCTGTAAAAATTATCAAAGTATCAAAGGGTTCCTGACTGCACAACTTTCACTACCATTTCCACATTGCCCTTTCTAAAACAGGATTGCAGTGGACCATTGCAGTGCTTCTCAGAAGTTTAACCTGGGATGAACAGACTCTTTGAAGTAAAAACAATCATCTTGTCAATGCCAATGCCTCTCTGACAGAACTCTCCTGCAGTTTTGTTTCCATCTCCTCAGGTGTTTGTTGTAGCCCACACGTGGTGCCTGCAGTTCCCACCACCCTGAATTTCTGCAGATGAGCCCCAAGGACTGAGACCCCACCTGCCAGAAACCTCAGTTCTTCCGCAGCCTCCTGGCCATTCCCCTTGCTCAGCAACCAAAAAAAGGGCATTTTCCCTCTCCACCCCCTTTTTTTGGGTCTTTGTTCACCTCTGGGAT